CTACTACCACTACTACCACGACTATCACTACTACCACTTCTCCCGCTTCTGCTCCTGCTCCTGCTGCTGCTACTGCGACTGCCACTCCTACTCCTACTCCGACTATTCCTCCTACTACTCCTGCTCCCGCTCCCGCTCCTGGTACTCCTACGACTGCTACGACGACTGCTACTGCTACATGCTACTGCTACAACAAGAAGAAGAGCGCGCCCCCGTAACGGATCCCACGTTTTTTGTGTTTTCGGACGTCGAAAACACCGTCCCTACCGACAAAGATGCTCTCGGTGGCGGGGGGTCGGGGGTGGGGGTTTGCAGTAGGGCCTTTTTTTGAAACAGCGATTTTATTGTTTTAAAGTGTTTTTTGTTTTCTTCCTGGAAAAATAGGTTTTTGCCTGGTTTTTTGATACATTGGCATGGAAGAGTGGGCTTCGCTGCTGGCCAAGAATGGCTTAAACAAAACGATTGTTTTTGGCGCCGGTCGGTTTGAGCAGTTTCTCGCCGCTTTAGGTTCTTGTCAAAATCTGTTTTCGCGTGGGTTTTTTTGCGCATGGAGTGATTCAACTTGGCCGTTGTCGTGCTGGCTTGCACGAAGCGCACAAATCTGAACATTTGTGACCTGTCCGAGTTTGTACAACCGCACCACGCATCATGGTTGGCCCATGGATGCTCTGCATTCATGGATGGAGTTTGAGTGGACGTTACCATGGTTGGGCCATGGATGGATGCTCTGCGCTGACACGGAGGGGGCCTGTTACCCCCCGCCCCCCGCCCCCACGCCCCTCCTAGTCCGAGTTTGTCGGCAGGGCTGGTGTTTTCAAGGCCTGACAGAGCGGAAAGCGTGGGATCCGTTACACAGCCGTTACCAACAATAATAACAACAACAACAACTACTACTACTACTACTGCTGCTGCTGCTGCTACTACTGCTGCTACTACTACTACTACTACTACGACTACGACTACGACTACGACTACGACTGCGGCTGCGGCTGCGGCTACGGCTACGGCTACGACTACGACTACGACTACGACTACGACTACGACTACGACTACGACGACGACGACGACGACTACTACTACTACTATTACTACTAGTAGAACACAACTAGAACTTCAACTAATTCTACTGCATGTATTGCCGGTACTAGGACGACGACTACCACCACCATCGCTGGTAGTAGTTTTTTGCATAATTACCTGTGTTCCTTCGGAAGCTTTCGAAACCGTCAAGGAGAAAGTGTGCAGGAGGAGCATGCGAGCCGTACCGTACTATAAACGTCACCTGGTGGTGCAGGCGGCTTCAAGCGAAGAGGAATCGCCACTCTTCAGAACGACCGCCAATCTTCCCACTCTGAGTCCGAAACTTTCCGAAGCGCTGGGCCCTGCAGATCAGGCGAGCTACCGAGCACTGTTTTATGGGTGCTGCATAATGATCCTAGGTTTTTCTGCATGTCACGTGTTCCCTATGCGAGTGTCTGAAGATTCTTAGGTTCAGACGGCACCTTCACAGTCCGCAGCTCAGCGCTGCCGCTGCCTCCGCACCGGCACATGCTAGCGCTCATGGTCGTCTGGTTCGCAGGCACGTTACAATGCCGAGTTTCGTGAATGCGTATATGACATCGACGGCACCGGCAGGCGCACAGCTATGCAGCAATGACTGAAGAATGCCGACCCTTCATTTCAGTCAAAGTAGGTGAGAAACGATTTCCACTGCTCTTGTCCTCTGTGTTCCTCGTTGCTCCCGACCCAGCGCCCAGCTTCTGATCTGCCGGCGTTGCTTGCTTGTGTTGCCATGCATGGAGGGAAACGCAGACAGGCCGCGACCGTAACCAGTGCCTCCGCTGAGTCGTTCAGCTCTAGCACTCCGACTTGGATTGAAAGGCAACTTTGCATACATGACGAGCCCTGTGGCCAACATGGCGGTGCCCGTGCTGCCCAACATGCCTCTTCCTTACGTGCACAATTTCGAGGTAAGCATTGCCGACTGAAAAGATGCATCTGATGCATTCGTAAATGGTGCTGTGATGAGGTTTGGCATCACGGCAGCAGCTCCGTTTCAACATTCTGCAGCCTTCGCCGCTTGCTAACAAGTTTCACTTTATGAGCCCATCAGGAGCCATTTGTCTTTTGGCTCTTGCGCTGCTCCTAAATTTAGTTGCTGCAGGTACCGGCAGGCTCGTACGACGATCCCGCAGCTGAGTTTAAGCACCTTGTCAGGATTTTAAGGGTTTTGGGTGCAAGAGACACTCACCGACTCGACGTTCGCTCGGTGTTTCTCAGCTTGTCAGGCAAGACACAAGATAAACCCATTATAACTGGGCTTTGTGGCATTCCCCTAACTCCTAAACCAACATATACGGAAGTTCCTGGATTCTTGTGCTGAGGGCAGCCCCTGCCTACAACTACAAGGCAGGCTGGTTTTAGGCATGCAGACAGAACATTGCCGCCTTTGTATGTCGGCATGGCGCATTGCACTCGTCCACGAGGGCTTGGCCGCTAAGTTTTTATCAAAAAGGGAGAAGGGGCACAGCAGTCTACATTTGCGCGAAGACACATAGATAAATGAACAAAATGAACGAACAAGGAGTTTTCAAGAATGTATATATGTATGGGTGTGTTGTATACAGCTGTATGTACACATATGTATACATAGAGTATACATACAGGGAAAAGCGATAATACATGTATATACATATGTGTGTATATATATGTATATATATATATATGTATATATATATATACATGTGTATTATGGATGTCTTGCCGTGCTTATGCCTACACGTTGTACACATACACATATACATATATATATATGTGTATATGTATATGTATGTGTATATGTATATGTATATGTATATGTGTATGTGTATATATACCTACATGTGTGTACATATGTGTATACTTGTATGTATATATATATATATGTATATGTGTGTATATATATATATGCGTATATATGTACACAAGTATACGTGTACATGTATTTATTGAATACACACACGCATATGGACATCCCGATGCGCATGCAAATCCAGAATGACATTATTGGGTGATGGTTCTCGGAGTGGAAGGGAGTGTGGTGGTTGTACTCTTCTTCTTCTTCTTTTTATTGTTCTTGCAGTGGTGTTGGTGGTGGTGGCAGTGTGTGCTCGTTCCTCATTCCCTTTTCGGATGTCCGAGTCGCTGTTCTGACGTCAGCTGATACAGCTGATATACTGCCTCGCTATGTACGCTTATGTCGTGCAAGCGAGGTATCAAGAAGTGCCGGCAGCAACGAGACACAGACCAAGTTCGCCTGACGCTGGCACGAGAGAGATTACGCGTGTGTATCTGTGCATAGGGTGGCAGAAAGAAGAAACAACATCCACGGGAAGGTTAGGTGGAACAGACAGGGGAGAGACAGAGAGAGAGGGAGAGAGAGAGAGCGGGAGAGAGAATCTCCCGGAAGGGAAGAAACAAGGAAGCTCAGGGAGACAGAAACTGAAAGAGAGAGAGAGAGAGAGAGCGGGAGAGGGAGATAGATAGGGATTCCCCGTTGTCCATAACCCTGACGAAAGAAAGAAAAGGGAGATAGATAGAGCGCCTGAGCCAGCAAAGAGTTTCTGGCAGCGGCCAGGATGCAAGAAAGGGCCAAGGGAAAGGAGCGAAAGGCCCCGGGATGGTGTCCTCGGTTGTGCCTTGTGCTCCTCGACCCAGAGAGCTCAATACCCCTTAATTAAGGAATATACCTTAAATCATAATATTAAGGTCCCTATAATTTAAGGTATATTCCTTAATCAAGGGGTATTGGGCTCTCTGGGGAACAGTGCTGAGCTTTCGATGGCTGGCATGTTAATGCTCTGTGGCCCTCTCGCATGCGAGGCAAGAACAAGAGCAACTCCCGCAACTTCATCCTGGCCGCAGATGACACTTGCCAATTGGAAGTTCCGGGCGTTTGAGAATTTGACGCGATACATACACACATACAGGCATGCGTACATACACATATACGTACACATACACATATGCATGCACACATGCAGATACAGATTCAGGTGCAGGTACACATGCACAAGCATATGCAATGCGGATCTACGGATCTACCTGGTTTGCCAGCCAGTGTAGGTGCAAGAGACGAGGAGCGCACGGCATCAGCCTTCCTCGCTATACATATACCCGACACATACATGCATGCATGCATGCATGCATGCATACATACATACATACATACATACATACATACATACATACATACATACACACACATATGTATATACACACACACACATAGTTACATATACAGATACAGATGCAGATACAGATATAAATATAGATGTAAATATAAATATAAACAAGTAAACACATAAATAAATTTATGTATCTAATATTAATATAATATAATATCATATAATATAATTACATACATGTACGTGTTTAGTAATTATGAAGACTCAGATCACGAGCCAGGGAACTTTGCTTCCCGCGCCCGAGAATGACGAGTGCATCAAGGGACCAGTCCCAGTGGGTGCACAGGCCGGGGAAGTTGAAGGGCTATTGGGCACGGTGCCTTTTATGTTTTCGATTTCAGCTTTGCTTGACGCCGCGTCTCGCCATTTAGGGCAAGGTTTTGCTTTTGTACACACATTTCACTCCTTGGCGCGTGGTGCCGTGCTCTTGGAGAGGACGAAATGCTTGGAAGATGTTGATAGAATTGCATGTTGTGGCTGCAGCTATCAAGCAATCACCATCCGGGCTGAGCTCAGCGGGCTAGGGTTGACATGCTCTTGCCAAGGAATGACCTCTGTATCAACCGAGGCACTCCATCAGCTTACATCCCCCTACTTGGCATGCCTGGCACCAGCTGAATCTCACGCCTACAACTATATGGGTAGTTTTCTTAATTAGGGTTCCTGTTTAGGTCCCCAATATAGTAGAGCACCCTTATAAAAAGGACCCCCAAAGGGGCCCTAATTTTGAGAACTACCCGCATAAATCAAAGTGATGTCAGGATGCTTCGGCTCCGGTTTTGGAATCATCCAGACCGGCGAATGTGGCGCAGGCACATGCCTTGCTTTTGCTGTTTTTTTTCTGAAGCTTCGGCCAAGTCGGGAGTACAAAGCCGGGCTGTTGAGGCGCTCTCAAATTGCCTCGAAGTAAAAGCACGTTTTAATCTTGCAGTAACGACTGGACGAATAATAGCTGCTCTGGGCTTCTTCCATCTAACAAGCAACCGCAGGTACTGGCAAGGTTGCCGCGGCGAACATTGCAAAAACCAGTGCTCAAGCGAAATACATGATCATATCAATGCAATTTTTGTCAGTCTTTGAGAGTATTGCATGCAACCGTATATAGCGTTAACATTTTTCTGATACTATGGACCCGACATGGCTTCACATTCGTGCGCTCAGGCTTCTACAGCCTTCCGTGCTTTCTGCATCGAGTTCACGCCAAAGGGGCATGCCTAGTTATGATTAGTTGTACTGTGCTGCTACGTTCAACTGTTAGCTCCATTGGGTATCATTCCTTGGTTTTTTTCAGCGATAGCCCTACATATGTAATCTCGTCCCCGAACACCCAAACACTGAGCCCTTTGGCACCTGAGCCTAGAAAAGCAGGCCCCGTCTTTCGGCAGATTGCACAAGTTCCATCCGGAAACAGTGCCTTGGACGGCACACGTCTTAAACTTTGAGGCAGCTGTTTATCGGCTGAGGGCCGAGGGTCGGGGATACAACAACAGCAACAGCCAGCAACTAGCAACCAGCAACAGCAACAGCCATTCTTGCTGATCTTGGTGGTGCTGTACTGGCTGGTGCTGGTGCTGGTGCTGGAGCTGTTATTGTTGTTGTCGTCCTCGTTAGTTGTTGTTGCTCTGGCTGATGCGTCTGATGTCCTGTTTGTTGCAGCCGCCGCTGTTGCTGCTGTTGTTGTTGCTGCTGTTGTCGGTGTTGTGATTGCCTTTGCTCTTGCTGGCTTGCGACGGTTGTTGTTGTTGTCGTTGTTGTTGCTGCCCCTGGTCTATTTTACTGATGTTGCTGTGATTGTGATTACTTGCGCTTTTCAAATTATTAGAACTACTGCGGTTGTTGCTGCTGTTGTTCATGTTATTGATATGTTTCCTTGTTGCTGCTGCTGCTGCTGTTGTTGCCGTTGCTGCGGTTGTTGCCGTCGTTGTTGTTGTTGTTGTCGTCGTCGTCGTCGTGGTTGTTGTTGTTGTAGTTGTTGTTGTAGTTGTAGTTGTTGTTGTTGTTGTTCTTCTTCTTCTTCTTGTCGTCGCTGTCGTTGTCGTGGTGATGGTCCTGATCTTTGCTGTCGTGGTTGTTGTCAAGCTTTTGAAGCTGCTGCTGTTGCTAGCAGCTAGCATGGCTATGATGATGATGATGATGAACAAGACGACGACGATGACAGGTGATGATCATGATGATGCTGCTGCTCATGATGATGGTTGTGGCGGTGGTGGCCAAAATGACGATGACGATGACCATGATGAGAATGCCGTTGCTTCTGCTTCTGCCGCTGCTGCTGCTGCTGCTGCTGTGGCTGTGTACTGTTTGGTGTTGCTTGCTACGCTAAGTCGTCATTTAACATTTTGTTTATTCAGGTGTAATGTTGCCTAGTTACTTTTATTGATGTTTCTGCTGTTGCTGTTGCTCCTGTCCGTGTTTCTGCTGCCGCTGCTGCTGCTGCTGCTGCTGCTGCTGCTGCGACGACTACGACGAGTGCTGCTACTACTACTTCTACTTCTACTTCTACTTCTACGTCTACGTCTACGTC